TATACATAACATGATTTAGAGAATATTCCTTCAGGAGAATAGATTCAAAGTGAGAAACTTAGCAGGGTCCTCTAAGCAGATCATTATGGAAAGATGTTGTTTTTGCGGGTTTCAGCATCATTTATAAAATGGGATTTACAAGGGGCAGTGGTGGCATGTATCTTTAATGCAAGCTCTCAGAAAACAGGAGCAGGTGGATCTCTGTGAGTAGGCCAGCCTGGTCTACAGAGTGACAAAGTGAGTTCCAGGGTAGCCTGGGCTACACTGAGAAACCCTGCCCCCTCCCCCGAAAGAAAGAAAGGTGGTGGACTGCTTGCCTAGCACACCAGACCCCGGGTTCGATCCCTAGTACTAAAAATACATAAAAAGATAGATATAGGCGATGGAGGATAGATAGATAGATAGATAGATAGATAGATGATAGATAGATAGATAGATAGATAGATAGATAGATAGATAGAATGCCATACCAGAGCAGACAATATGTACCTCCTGGTGAGTATCGTGACCTATGAAGTATGTCCTCTCTTCTCAACAGAAAACAAATTCCTCCTGGTTCTAGTTCATGTTGAGTTGCAAAAAATAGAATATTTGTCATCAGCCTATCTATGAAGGAAGGGGTTTAGTTGGCCTCATGGTTCCAGAAGTCTAAGAGCCTAGTGCTAGCTTGTCCTTAGCTCACGTGACGTCTTTGTACAGCTTCAACTCACAGCAGAAGCAGAGGAGCTGGTGGGTGCATGCGGAAGACAAAATGGATCCGACTCCTGTGGCAGCTAACCCAGTCCTCAGAGAGTAAGGAGCCCCGCCTGGGAGACCCTACCCAGTCTGCAAAGAATGGCATGAATCCCTCCTGAAGGTCACACTTGGCAACCCTGATCCCCTGGAAAATGCATATATTTCTACATGAGTTTTGGAAAAATCCCAACTCACAGGAAGTACAAGAGGCAGCAAAATGTATCAAATCACAACATGGAGGGGGTTTTTTAAATAATTTTTCCTAATTCAAAAATATTTTATACATGCATACAATAAAATATAATCATACCCACCCCTCCCCACTCCAACTTTCCCCACATACCCCACAACATATCCAACTCCCAACCTCATGTTTGCCTTTTTTTTTATAACCCACTAAATCCAAATAGCATCGTCCTCATGTGCACGGCTGCACAGCACGGGTATTTGATCAACAAAATGTTGACGTAAACTCTAGAGAAATGTTTCTTTTATCCAATACTTAAATAAAACTATTAAAAGAAAAGAAAATATTAGAATAAAGAAGCATTCTGGCAAGAAACCTGGCTTTAGAGAAATTCCCAGGCATCCGCATGGATGACCCCATCTAAGACACTAAGCAATAGTGGAGAGGATGCCTGAACTGGCCTTGTCCTGTAGTCAGACTGATGACTATCTTAAATATCACCGTAGATCCTCCATCCAGCAACTGATGCAAGCAGAGGCAGAGACCCACAGCAAATCACTGGGCTGAACTCCCAAAGTCTAGTCAAAGAGTGGGAGGAGTGAGAATACAAGCAAAGAGGTCAAGGCCATGATGGGGTTACCCACTGAAACAGCTTGCCTGAGCTAATGGGAACCCACCAACTCTGACCTGACAGTGAGGGGACCAGCATAGGACCCAACTAGGCCCTCTGAATGTGGGTGACAGTTGTATGACTGGGGCAGACTGTGGGGCCACTGACAGACCAGGATTTATCCCAACTGCATGTACTGGCTTTTTGGAGCCCATTCTCTTTGGAGGGATACCTTGCTCAGTCTAGATAGAGTGGGGAGGGCGTTGGTCCTGACTCAAAGCAATGTGCTAGACTTTGTGGACTCCTCTCTGAGGAGTGAATGGAGGGAGGTGGAGGGGAAGGGAGGAGGGGAGTGAGTGAGAACTGGGATTGGTATGTAAAATGAGAAACGAAAGTTTTTACTAAATAAATAAATAGAAACATACTGTTGCCAGGCGGTGGTGACACACACCTTTAATCCCAGCACTCGAGAGACAGAGGCAGGCAGATTTCTGTGAGTTCGAGGCCAGCCTGATCTACAGAAAGATCTCCAGGACATCCAGGATTACATAGACAAACTGTGCCTTGAAGAACCAAAAGGAAAAAAACCTAAAACAGACAAACAAACAAAAATCAAGGAAAAAATACACCAGAAATGTAGTCATTGCTTTACCTGGAATGAGCAATGACCTGAATTTGATCATCACTAACAAACACACAGACACCCAGATGCTCACATGCTCACACACACACACCCACACACTCACACCCACACACACACACGAATTCACACAAACAAAAAATGCACAACAGACTTGAATAGGCAGTTTACAAAGGAGAATTTCCAAACGACTATTAAACCTGAGATGTTGTTCAATGTTATTATTTATCGGGGGGCAGGGTGGGGGATGCACATGAAACCATAGTGCAATACCACACACTCACTGGAGTGACTCAATAAAGAGGTGGGCGTGCCAAGTCTGGGGAAGATGGCAGGAGAGCCAGCCGCTCATGGTCTGCTCAGAGGATCGAAGACTCAGAAGAGGCATGATCTACTGATGTTTCAAACACACAAACAATGTACTCAGACAATCTCTCTCCCACTGGAAATAGACACTTGCAATTCACTCCCTGAGACCTTCTTTGTCTTGTCATATGGTTATAAATCTTTCTTCATAAGACAAGCTCACCTACCATCTGCCTCCCATCCATGCGATGGACAATATCCACACCACTCTTACTTACCACATTCTTTTCCCTAACTTCCCCAGAGTTAAGTCATATGAATGCTTCATTTCAGCTGGAACTCCTAGACAGCACTTCCTCTATACCTAGTAATTCTTCCTCAGTGTCTATTTGATAATAGATCCTAAAGCTACCGAAGCTACTTCTTTCTTCTTTTTCTTCTCCTCCCCTTTGACTTCTCCTCCTTGTCGTTGTCTTCTTCTTCTTCTTCCTCTTCTCCTTCCCCCTTCTCCTTTCTCCTCTCCCTCTTCCTCCTCTTCCCCCTCCTCCCCCTCTTTCTTCCCCTCCTCTTCCCGTTCCTCCTCCTCCTTCTTCCTCCCCCTCCTCCTCCCCCTTCTCGTCCTTCCCCTCGACTTCTCCTCCTTGTCATCGTCTTCTTCTTCTCTTCTCCTTCCCCCTCCTCCTCTTTCCCCTCCTCCCCCTTTCTCCCCATCCTCCCCCTCCTCGTCCTCCTCCCGTTTCATTCCCCTCCTCCTCCTCCTCCTCTCCCTCTCCTTCTTCTTCTTTGTATTCTTCTTCATATTCTTCAATTTTTGAGACAGAATCTCTGTTCAGTCCTGGCTGTCCTCGAACTCACTATGTAGACCAGGCTAGTCTTGAAATTAGGGAGATCCTCCTGCCTCTCCCTCCCAATTGTTGGGACTAAAGGTATGCACCACCATACCCATCCTAAGGCTTCTTGAAGTGAATTAAGAGAAAGACAAGGCAGGTAGTGCCTCCCTTAGTCCCAGCACTTGGGAGGCAGAGGCTAAAGAATCTCTGTGAGTTCAAGGCCAACCTGGTCTACAGAAATCAGGAGAGCCAGGGCTACACAGAGAAACCTTGTCTTGAAAAATCAAAAGAAAGAAAGAAGAAGGAGGAAGCATCTATTAGTAATGTCTCAACTCCCCTCTGCCCTCCATCAAGGTCCTCCTATGGCCCAGAGAACAGGCATTCAGACAAACCTATAGGACGTCAGCATGGGGAAAAGTGACTTGAGAAAGAGTGGTTATCACATACCTTTGTCTTGGCTGCCACCTGGCCCTTGTTCTGATGCCTAGAAAACAGTATCCATGCAACAACAACTAAAAAACCAAGTAACACAACGCTGAGATACGCTGGCAGTGGGGCAGCCAGGCCCCACAGTAACGCCATTCCTCAAGCCTATGCCCCCTCTCAGCTACAGCTTCTGCCTTTATAGTGAGATTCAATGACATCACAATAGGCCCTGCCAGGGAAAGCCAGGCTGTGGGCACGCTCAGGTACCAGCTGAGCCCTTCCCTGTGTCTGCCCGTGGCTCTGAGAGCTCTGATATCTAAAGCTCAGGGAAGAATCCATCTGTGAATCTCCTAGGGTTCAGCTAGGCAGACTTGTCATTAAGGGAGGCGTGATGAGGCAGACTTTCAAAGGTCTTCCCAAATGACTTGTTCTGACTCACATTTTCTTTGGAGCCAGTCACTGATCACTGCCAAGTTGGGACTGGGTCTATAGCCATAAATTGCAAACTGCAAGTTAGAACACAGCCCCAAGTGGAATCTAAGAGAGCTGGGATAGATCAAGTGGGATCCCTCAGGGACTTGGAGGTGCTTGGTTTTCTAGGTTTGCAGGTCTCCATATTATTTCCTAGTTGCTGTTGCCCCGACACACATCACTCTGAGCAGTGGCCTTAAGAGAGGATCGACGGTCTCATTGCCCAGATCAGTCATTATACCACCCATCACTCCATCTTCCCTAGAGTCAAGGCAGTGCAAACAAGATTTGCTTTTCTTACTATTTTAAATTGTGTGTGTATGCGTATGCACGTATGAGTGCAGGTGCTATGGAGAGGGGCCGAGAGGGAATCTGCAGGGACAGGTGTTTGAGGACCACACAACATGGGTGCTGGGTACTGAACTTGAGTCTCTGCAAGAGCAGCCTTCATTCCCCACCTCTGGGCCACCTCCAGCCTAACAAGGAGCTTTTAGGCCCTGTCATTTACATTATGATGTCAGCATGTCCCTTGAGGGTTCAGGGGGGGAATTTTTTTTTTTTCGAGACAGGGTTTCTCCGTAGCTTTTTGGTTCCTGTCCTGGAACTAGCTCTTCTAGACCAGGCTGGCCTCGAACTCACAGAGATCCGCCTGCCTCTGCCTCCCAAGTGCTGGCAAGGTTAGGTTCCAAAACAAGACAATCAGTTTTATTTCTGAGATCAGAAGATGCCAGTGACTCTTCCCCGATCCCGGGCTGTTAATGCCCCCACCCCCACCCCCACCCCCAGAAATTGGGTTTGTCCCACCACCACGTGTATCGCTGGCACAAGTCTTCGTGGGACTGGACCGATGGCAGAGGCTCTTCACGGTCCCAGAAACATCAATTTACTGCACTATAGGCTGTTGGGTCCGCAAGTGCTCGGGTGGTACGCTTCTGACCCGGCCCAGAGAGGGCGCTCCTGATAACCTCATAGACGGAAGGAGCTGCAGCCAGGCGTGCCTTAGCCTCTGTGATGGAGCAGCGTTGTAAAAGGCTCAGCAAGGCTGTGGCGATCACCTGTGGGAAGGGGCAGGGCGAGCTGGAGAAAATGTAAGGTCATTTGAGAAAGAACCCTGGAGGAGACAAGAATTGGGCACAGGAGTTAGGTTGGGTAAAAGAATAGGAAGATGGCGGGTCTGTGGTGGTGCACGCCTTTAATCCCAGCACGTGGGAGGCAGAGGCAGGTGGATCTCTGAGTTCGAGACCAACCTGGTCTACAGAGCGAGTGCCAGGACAGGCTCCAAAGCTACAGAGAAGCACTGTCTTGAAAAACAAACAAACAAAAAAACCTTCACTTAAGCTGGAAAATTCCTGTGCTAAGACCCTTCTCTCAGTCCTTCTTGATGCCCCTCCAAGGCAGAACAGAAGCCGTTTTGTTGATGTCGTTTTTACCTCTGTAGTTTCTGCCACTGTCATGCATCCTCACCCCATCCCCACCCCATCCACCTACCCCTCCTAATGGGAGCTCCCCGTGGCACTGATCTCTGAGCTTTGTAAATCTGGTGTCATACCAAGTTCCTTAGATTTTTAAGATCCTCAGAAAGAGTTTGTGGAACGGCCAGCAAGGGGAAAGAAAGGATACATTTCCCTTTTCGTGGGCAACCTGGACGTAGTGGGAGATGGGAGCAGCCCGGACATCATCTGACAGTGGTTGAGGAAAATGGACTGCTTGGAGGAGGCTCTCGATGCAGCGAGCCTTGTACTGTCCAGAGAACCGCTGTGGGAGTAGTAGTAAGGTCGGTGTTGGGATGGAGGGCAAGGAGAACTGAGAATAGTGTCACAGAAGAAAGCAATTGGAGAAGGGGGGGGGGTGGCGGGGCAGCTAGGATCCTGAAGACTGGCCGAAGACACTGTGGAGAGTTTGTCTCTCCTGGCAACCCCATAATCACAAGGTGTAAAGGAAAAGTGAGTTAAAGGAGTTAATGAATGGGAAGTTGGTGAGATTTACAACTGTGATCCAAAGACCCCATGTAGATCGATGATAAAGGATAGCAACCTTCAAGGCTGTCCATCATGATCTCTGCCCAGCATCCATTCTCCCTCCATTTGGGCATTGGCCCCTTTCTTTTCCTGGATAACTGTTGGTCTCCATTCTGAGACCGTAGATATAATCAAGCCATCCTGCCCCACCAGATTCTTGAAAGTACACACAAAGCAGATGAGCAGGTGCCCTTTCTCCCTGGAGGGCAGTGATTGGTTCAAAGTTGTGCACATGACCCAAGACAAGGCAACAAGAGCCCTCAGCCAGATGCTAGCGGTGTCATGAGGAACAGAAAGACTCCTTCCCACTGGGGTTACTGTCTTAGAACTATTCAGTTCTAAGTCCTGGAACTCACTTATGTAGACCAGGCTGGCCTCGAACTCACAGACACCTGCCTGTCTCTGCCTCCTGAGTGCTGGGATTAAAGGCGTCTGCCACCACTGCCCAGCTACTAGTTGGGTTTCTATTGCACCTTGAAACCTAAAGACTGCCAACTGGGAGGTACAGTATCACACTCCTGCACCTTTGTGTGCATGCAATGAAGACCGGATAATATGCCCGAGAAAGACATGCCTGTGAAAATCTAGCACTTAACCCTACACCCCTCCCCAACATTGCAAAAAAACATCTTCTATGGCAGTCTGGGTTTGCGGGACTCCTGTCACGCTCCCACCTGCAACATGGCCAGTGCCTTCCAAAAGAGCTTGGAGTTGGCGATGTGGAAGTCCAGCATGTGGTTCTGTAAGGTCTTCCCCAGCAGCACGTCGGCCCCGGTACTCACTGTATTCAACACCCACTTGGTGCTTAGCTCATGCTGGAACTTCTGAAATACAGACACACGGGAGCGCTGGAAGTTAGGGGCTGGGAGAGCAGCGGGTGAAAGAGCCATGTTAGAACAGAAAACCTGGGCTAAAACAGCAGCCACCTCGGGGCTGAAGAGAGAGATGGCCCGGAGAAAGAGCACTGGCTGCTCTTCCATAGGTCCAGAGTGCAATTCCCAGCAACTACGTAGTGGCTCATAATCCAATGCCCTCTTCTAACACTGTATGACATTTAATGATGTACTCCTCATTAAAATATGAATAAAATTTTTAAAAAAACAAATTTACAGTACTGAAAACAGCCTGATACTGGCATAAGAACAGACAGAAGGACCAATGGAACTGAATAGAAGACCCGGATATCAATCCATACATCTTAGAACACCTGATATTCGATAAAGAAGCAAAAAAATATCAAATGGAAAAAAGAAAGCATATTTAACAAGTGGTGCTGGCATAACTGGATATCAACATGTAGAAGAATGAAAATAGACCCACATCTATCACCAAGCACAAAACTCAAGTCCAAATGGATCAAAGACCTCAACATAAAGCCAGCCACACTGAACCTTATAGAAGAGAAAGTGGGAAGTACACTTGAACGCATTGGCACAGGGAACCACTTCCTAAATAGAACCCGAGTAGCACACTGAGAAAAACAATTACTAAATGGGACCTCCTGAAACTGAAAAGCTTCTGTAAAGCAAAGGACGCAGTCAACAAGACAAAACGACAGCCTACAGAATGGGAAAAGATCTTCACTAACTTCACATCAGACAGAGGTCTGATATCCAAAATATACAAAGAACTCAAGAAATTGGACACCAAAAGATCACATAATCCAATAAAAAAAATGGAGTACAGACCTAAACAGAGAACTCTCAACAGAGGAACCTAAAATGGCTGAAAGACACTTAAGGAAATGTTCAACATCCTTAGTCATCACAGAAATGCAAATCAAAACAACTCTGAGATTCCATCTTACACCTGTAAGAATGGCCAAGATCAAAAACACTGATGACAAGTTATGCTGGAGAGGTTGTGGGGAAAAGGGAACCCTTCTGCATTGCTGGTGGGAATGCAAGCTTGTACAACCCCGTGGATGTCAGTGTGGTGATTTCTCAGAAAATTAGGAAACAACCTTCCTCAAGACCCAATAATACCACTTTTGGGTATATATCCAAGGAATGCTCAATCATGCCACAAGGACATGTGCTCAACTATGTTCATAGCAGCTTTGTTTGTCATAGCCAGAACCTGGAAACAACCTGAATGCCCCTCGATCGAAGAATGGATAAGGAAAATGTGGTACATTTACACAATGGAGTACTACACAGCAGAAACAAATAACGACAGAATGAATTTTGCAGGAAAATGGATGGAGCTAGAAAACATTATTTTGAGTGAGGTAACCCAGACCCAGAAAGACAATTATCACATGTACTCACTCATAGGTGGTTTTTAACATAAAGCAAAGAAAGCCAGCCTACAAATCACAATCCCAGAGAACTTAGACAACAATCAGGACACTTAGAGAGACTTATACAGATCTAATCTACATGGGAAGTAGAAAGTAGAAAAAGACAAGATCTCCTGAGTAAATTGGGAACATGGGGACCTTGGGGGAGGACTGAAGGGGGGAGGGGAGAGGCAGGGAGAGGAGCAGAGAAAAATGTAGAGCTCAATAAATATCATGGGGGGGAGGGAACGACGCTGGACACCTAAGCGCAGATCATTTGTTTGATGAGAAGAGCCTTTAACAATCTTTCTTGGTTTTGATCATATTATTGAGAGAGTTAATGTTTGTAAGCTTCACTTGCCCAAGGACAGATAACTTCCTGGAATGCTGGGGCTGTTGTTTTTTCGCTTCAGTAAACAAAACTGGTCGCCCCAACTGCTCAGGATGTGCTTGATCACCAGGCCGGCAGGAGTTGCACCTGCAGGAAGTGCTCAGGAGGTGTTCTTTCCCCTGATTGGACGTAGTAACCTTGTTCATTTTGCCTTTATGAGCACCTGATTAACCTAATTCAGCACCATTCTCTGGGAATTCTGGTTATGGACCTGGCCAGTGTCCATCTTTCTGGCCAATATTTATTAAACTTTGCTTTAATTAGATAATTGTGGATTTGGCCTTTCTCCTCACAATTTTCAGGTATAACAGTCTACTTTATTTTTTTAATTTATTTACTTGTATTTTTAACATGTATGGGTACTTTGCTGGCATGTGTCTCTGTGTACCACATGTATGCAGTGAACTCAGGGGCCAGAAGAGGGCATCCATCCTCTGGAACTGGAGCTACTGACAGTTGTTATCTGCCCTGTGGGTGCTGCCAATGAACCTGGGTTCTCTGGAAGAGCAAACAAGTGTTCTTTGAAGGATACTGAACAGTAGGGTCTTCCTCTGGGACCCCAGATTAGGCCCAAACCACATCCAAACACCTGTTTGACCTTGCAGGTGAAGTTTTGAGAGGAGAAAAAGGGGAGGTCTGTGTTAGAGTGGGCTAGGATGTAGTGGGACATCTTGACTGGGCATGTTCATTAGGTGAACCAAACGGGGCTTTTGATTGCTGGACTTTGGAACTCATCCTCAGCCAGGCATAGGAAAGTATCCGAATAAAGGAAAGGACCCTCACGGTTTTGCTTTAGGAATGTAATCTAATGGTTTTTTAGCAAGACAGAGGGAACCGGGGAGAAAGGCAAGGCCTGTCAGAGTCACATGCTCTAGTGGGCCAAGTGTCCCTTTGCTCTTAACTGCTACAGCATCTCTCCAGCCTCCAAGGTTTTTTTGTTTGTTTGTTTGTTTTTACAATTCTTTTTGTTTTGTTTTTCAAGACAAGGTTTCTCTTCTCTGTAGCTTGGGAGCCTGTCCTGCAACTAGCTCTTGTAGACCAGGTTGGCCTAGGAACTCAGAGATCTGCCTGCCTCTGCCTCCCAAGTGCTGGGATTAAAGGCGTATGCCACCACCACCCAGCTGCCTCCAAGTTTTTTATTTGACCCTTGAGGGATCCATAAAGCCATAGATCCCATACATGTGGGAGGAGCTAAGTACTGGGACTCATCCACCAGCTACAGTCTTGCTGAAGGCAGGGGTGGTGTCCAATTCTGCTCCAGGGTCTCTGTCCTTCTAAGGTATGAGATTGTCACACACACCCTTGGAAGAGTGTATACAAGAAACTTTTTGTCCACTTTTTAAAGGGATTCCCTTTATCACTAGT